GCCTTTTTTAGTTCATTTATTTGAAGTCATCAATTGATACTTATAGATTTTTAGAGATTCCACAACATGTACCGAGGCTTAGCACTACTGTATTCGGCCACAACCTCCAACAGGAAGAGGCTGATGAGCGGCCCTCGTCTGAGGATTTTATGGTTTAAAATACTTTTTATGTACTTTTAATGCCATGTTCTGATTGGCTAAACGGGTGCGACTAGATTCGCCTACTCCCCGTGGCACGTAGTGCCAAGAGTCATGCCAAGTGATGTTGCGTGAGTTGAATGATAACTTGTTAATAGCTTGTTGTGACAAGATATGTAACAAAACTGACTGGAATAAAAGTCACTAAAGATTTAAATATTTTCCTTTTACTATATACCATTCAATATAGAATACTTTATTATTCACCTTATTATAGATAGTCCATTTTAGCTCATCTTATATATTTATGTTAATGGCCATGACTAGGTTTCGATACTACCATCAATCTTGTATACTAATTCTATTCACTCTAGCTCGCATACAGTAATAAAGGACTGGTAGTTGAACTTATCACAGTGGTATGATGCCATTGAATTTTAATAGAATTTCACCGAGTTCATTTTACGTGTAGTGATAAAGGAAGAAGAGTTTAATAATTCTTGATTTCCTCGTAGTAGTATCTTATCTTTTTTTCAAACATTTCAATTTCCCACATTACTCAAGAAGCCGAGATCACGCCGATTTTAATCATACTTTACCTATTAGTTTCTATCTATACTCAGTTCAAACTTCTCATAGTCTGCTAAATGCCCAAGCATCTTGCTTTATTACCTAAGCCCTTGGCCTTTTCTGCCATATTTAAGCATATTTCCTTCTCTCTTCTCCCTTATTTCTTCCTCCGTCTGTCCAGGTGATGGCGTTGGGGAGCATCCAACACAGGCTCTTCTTGACGTCTTCACCATCCGCGAGGAAATCGGTACAGTAAACGGGCTTACCATTACAATGGCGGGTGACCTTAAAAATGGCCGGACCGTGCACAGCTTGGCTCGCCTATTGTGTCTCTACAATGTTACTCTACGTTATGTGCCTTACCAAGCGGACTTGGCCATGCCGAAAGAGATAGTCGAGTACGTAGCTAAGCATGGCATTCGCCAGGAGGTATTTACACGGTAAGTCATACTTTATTTT